ATAAACATTGCTGGACTGAATTTACATGGTCTCCTGGAGTTCCTTGGGCTAGGCCTGACAGCATATCTCAGTATGTTCTTGTGCTCTTTGAAGTGTCCATCTTCTCTCCTTCTTTATAGACCCTCCCAGCATCTACTGAGCAACTCACCCCCAGACTTCCCTTCACTCTCGAATGCCCATGAATGGCTGGATGCCATTAAAATGGGCCGTTACAAGGAGAACTTCGACCAGGCTGGCCTGACTACATTTGATGTCATCTCACGCATGACTTTAGAGTAAGAACTATATCTCCTGTTGTGTGGCAGTACAATTGAGTCTGCAGATAAGTGCCAGTTTGGCTTTCAGATGGATATATCTACATGCTATCTTGTGTTTGCACAATTACAGTATGTTATTTGTATTTGTACACTTAAGAGAGAACAGAACATGGGTCAAAAAACCCTCTCTGGTTCAGATGTGATTTGAAAAATATAGAAGTATTTCTTCTTCAGGAGAAAAGAGAGATATATGAGTCACCTCTGTCAAAAAAAAGGCCCATATCTTTCTGAACAAATGTTATGCATTAAAATTTGTTTCAGTGTGGACTGCCTGTGCAGAATTAGATATTGTTTCTCCCTAAGTGTAGGGAATGGGGAGCATACTTGGCAAGAAAGTATGCCAAGATAGGCCAGATAGTTTTCTTTTTCACTTCTCAAATGTGAGCACAATCAATCATATGTTTCCCTTATCTAAAGTCTGATGCCAAGATAAGGTAAATTTGCCTACAAGACAAGTCTATTACTGTTGACTACACAGGCACATTTGTATGGTGTCCTTGGTGCAAATAAGGAAGTCGTTTGCCATTCTCTTTCCCAGGTTATCTTTTTCATTTTCAAGTCTAGCCTATAACCCTGCATTCCTATCCACGTATTACCCAGATAACCTCACTTACTTCTCAAGCCCAGGTAAGGTTGACCAGGTACGGTTATTTAGTGAGGCCACACACTGATGTACTGTATTGTAAACGCTAAGGCACTGTTTAGCTAGAATGTGTGATTTTGGAAATTCAGACAGAACCAGGATTCTGGGGAACTGCAGTACAACAACACATAGCAGACCACATATGGCCCATCCCTGATCTAGAATATGTCTTTGCATTCTCTTGACCAGCATTAGCTGAAGAGCTTCCAGTACTGACTACTACTAAGTATAACCTAACTTCCCTTGACACGTAGATTGCATGGCAGAGTTCCTTTGGTTAATGAGAATGTGTAGTTATGTTGCTGGCCCAGATTCAGGTTCACAAGCTTTCTGGACCCATCCTTGATGTCCATATATTGATGATCAGCAACCCTAGGGAGAAGGTCTACACACGGGGCTTTATTGGGGAGGAATTCTGAGTGATAAAGCCCATAGACCCCTTGACATAAACGAGTATAGATGCAAGCTTTTTTTTTTTTTTTTTTTTTTCTGTAGGTGGCCCTAGGTGACTTTAAACCCTCACGCCCTTTTACATCATTTAAATGCATGAATATATATACCAAATAAATCTGTGAAAACAGTTGTATTCTCTTTAAAGAATTATATGCAAGTGTTCATCTGCTATTCATCCAGTTAACTGGTTAATTTTACATTCATGTGCATATGGTGGAAACGTCAGTAAAAAAAAAAAAAAAGAAGTATTGAAGACAATGACATAGGAAGTTGATTTATCCGGATCTAGGATTCTGATCCAGATTCATCCTTTTAGCTCAACAGTGATTATATTGTACATACAGTACATCTGTGTGCCACTCCCTTCAAAGATTCTAGGCAGTTTACATCTATTAAACAATAAAACCATGCCATACAAACACCTGTAAACAAATTTGCTAAACAAATTCCCAATCTCCCCTAAACGATTGCCATCTGTTATAGGACACCCTCTGCTTGGAAGGTTCTGTGAAAAGACAGTTTTTACTGCTGTCCCAATTTCAGAGTAAGGTGCTTGACTGAGAATGCTAGTCTCCAAGACTCTACCCTTTGACATCCCAGAGCGAGGAAACCTGCCAGATGGCCTCTTGGCCACTATGTATTAGACAGGCAGACTTCACCTATAGCAGATGAACCTGGAAGTGATGAGGACCCAAGCCACAAAAAGCCTTATAGGTAATTAACAGCATCTTGAATTGGGCCCAGAAGCTGACTGGCAGCCAAAACAGCCCCTACAGTATAGTTGACCTTTTGCTGTACCAATTTTCACTCATCAGCAAGTGGGCAGCCAAATGGTACACCCATTGTACCTTCCAGCCACCTTCAAGGGCAGCCCCACGTAGCACAAGTTGCAGTAATCTAAATAGGAGAGCCTTTGAACCCAGGATGATTAGCCATTTTCTCTGGGGCCAGGGCCTTCCTGCCTCCAGCCTTTCTTCCTCAGCAGCCAGGAGCCACAGTGGGCATCTGGATAACTCAATAATGTCACAGAGGGACAGAAATAGGTTTTTTTATTATTATTATTATTATTATTATTATGTTATTTTAGGGAATGAAATATTTCATTTTAGGTACATTTAGCTCATTAGAATCTTGGTGTATTTTTTTTTTTACTTTCATAATAAAATCATGTTTTAAAAAAAACATGCCATGATTGTTTTGTGATTTGCAGCAAAACCATGGCATCCTCCAAAACAACACCAAAAAAGCTTGTGGTCTACACTTTCTAGTAACCACGCTTGGTATACCATACAAGTCCTTTTTACACAACAGCCTAACTCATTGTTAAAAGAAAAAGAGCGTACCTCACCAAAATTCTCTTAAAAGGCAACAGTGACTACCTTTTAACCTTCTCATTCTTGCAGTGACTACTGACCCATGGAAGAAGCCAAGATGGCAAATCTTTCCCAGTGCCCCACCAGGCTACAGTGGGTTGAATAAGTTTGCAAGTTCAGACAATTCCAAAGCCTTGGCTGAGATCTTCCTCTCTTTTCATTTGCAGAGATATCCAGCGCATTGGCATCAGCCTGGTTGGTCATCAGAAGAAGATCCTCAACAGCATCCAACTCATGCGGGTTCACCTCAATCAGCTTGAACCTGTGGAGGTCTGACACATTGAGCACAGTCCATTCCCCTTAAAACACCTCGAGAGTCAAATGAACATTTTGTTGTCAAAGAGAGACAGAGCAGTCCATTTCAGGCATGGTTGGGGGGGGCACAGAAAACATTGTACTCCACTTCACAGACCAGAGAAAATTTGTAGAGATTCTTCGCTTGTTTTTCTTTATTTTTTTATTATAACTTGAAACACTACAAATCCTGTGTCATTTAGAGATGGGTGGAATTGTACATTGGGGTGGGGCGGGCTGATAGTACACAGGGTAGAGCTGAAAAGGTAGCTTTGGAATTGGAAATGCACTCACTGCCACTTCAGTGCCAACGTATGGGATTGAACCCATAACAGAAACAGACGTCTCAGAAGATTGTACTTTGTTTGGACTAGTGGTCTGTAAATGGCAAATGTTGAGCTGGATCAAGCAAAGTCACGTTTAACGTAGTGTTGAGTTGCCAAAAGAGATCCCTTGAAAGCTTTTGTCCAGCTAGTGGAATTCAGTGCTGAGAAGAACAACAGGCACCACCACTTTCTTTCCGGCAGTTTGGGCAAACAGACAGAAAGCAAGGCAGTGTGAATGCTGTCTCAGGCAGTGCATTTCGGATGCTGTTCAAGTTGGCAGAGATGGACAAATCCAAATCGTGGGACAGAATCTAGACCAACACTCTCAAACTTGTGGCCTATGGGCCACCTACACCTCTCCAAGTCATTTTCTGTGTCCTGCAACAATGCTTTGTAGGCATTGCTGAACATTTGGCCCAGCAAGGCCAGGCCACTGAGCCCCAAGAAGAGGAGCAGCCTAGCAACTCGCTTCAGCTGGACAACCTCACAAGGTCTGTTGGCAACAGCAGAGCCTGGTGGGCCAGGCTTCCTAGGACACGCCCAGAGTCTCTCTTGCAAGCCGTGCAGTCCTTCTGGGACTCCCAGTGGCTCTTGCATTCAATAGGGGGTGCTGTTTCTGAGATGGTGCCAGACTCTGCTGACAGGAGCAGAAAGGAGGCAAGATGTAGCCAGGGAAGAGAGGTCAGGGGGCTGGGGCTGGGTGAGGGAGGAAAGGAGGAGAAGGGTTGGATCTGGCTGCCCTCCTGCAAGGCTCTCTCTGATGGGCAAAGCATGGGAAAGACAGAGAGCAAGCAAGCAAGATTGGAAAGGACAGAGGCAAGGAAAGAGAAGTGAGAAAAAGACCAAAGGAAAGATTCCCTGTTCAGCAAGGGGAGAGGGGGAAAAAAAAAAAAGCAGGGATTGGACAGCTCTTAATGGGATGGCTTTCCTACTTTATATCATCCTAGGTATGATCATGAAGAAATATTGCATATCAACGCAGTAATAAAACCAAATATTGGTGTTCTAGTTAATGAAAAATGCTGCCAGCTAAGTAGCCAAAGTGAAATAGCTGTTTCGCAGCACTGTTTCGCAAGTAGCTCTGTTTCACGGTACCTTTTATATTTAATAAATTTATGTTTAATGGCATAGCGCGATACTCTTCATTTTTTACTTTCTAGATACTTTTGTATCACGGTATGACAAGACTTGAAGGTTGAAGCCCTCAAGCTAATGAACCAGTCCTGTGCGGCACTCATCATGAATTGAGTTTGAGTCCCTGGTCTAGATGTACCGCAGTTCACTTGAATGGGATTGGCACTGGATAATTTTGTTGTGTATTGAGCCCCATAGTAATTGGTAAGAGCTTGGGGAGGGCATTCAGATTTTTAGTCTTAGGCCCCAAAGCGTTCTGGGCCAGCCATGGTTTGTGTTGGTCCCCCAATAGGATGTCAACAGCCTAGTTCAAATGAGAGTAGGTAGCAGTACAGTATGTCTGTCTCTAGAAAGATGAAAAGTCCTTCTTTCCAATGTCCAACTGGATGTGGAGACCACAGAAACTGAAATAAAACATTTTACCAAAAATATGTTGACAAGACTTTCTTTGGATGTGGGATTACATTGGCTTTTGGGAGGGTGAAAGAGAGCAGATTGTTTGAACAAGAAAACAATTGAGCATCTTGTCCACATTAAGACAGGATCCATAGAGACCACAGGTGGTATGGATGTGAAGCAATACCTTCTCAGACTATAAAGGTAACCCAGTTTTATTTGGGATGGGAGCAGCAATGGTCATTAATTCATCAGGACACTAAATCTCTCTTCACCATGAAGCATTTCTCTGGGACTAAATCTCATTCCTGCAGAAAGATGTTGGAAGGTAGATGTGGACTATATCTGAGAAGGGGAATCAATCTCTCTCTCTCTCTCTCTCTCTCTCTCTCTCTCTCTCTCTCTCACACACACACACACACACACACAGGATTGATGCCTCAAACATGGTGAAATCAACATGCAGATATGACTCCCTCAAGTGAATGTTCAAATTTCCCACTTTTAGCTATACCCTAGTGAATGCCAACTGTCATCTATAAACATTCATCTGTTTCTCTTGAATCAATTGTACATATTCACTGACACATCTGACAACTTAGCAGCTTGTTAGTGCATTGCTGCATGTGATGTGGGTGGATTAGCTGAATTGTTCCTGGAATGGCCTTGAGGTTATTTTTGAACTGCATCAGATTCGTACTTAACCTCTCCTCTCCACAAAAATGAAAGGGCAGGGAGGGGGAGGGGGAGGGGGGGATGTGGAAAAGCACTTGGCTATGCAAACAGACATCATCAGCTTTGCTCACATATATTTACAAATATGTGCTAAAACTTTAATGAAGATAGATAGAGTTATCCAGGAGACAACAGTGTTCACAAATGTTAGTTAAGGCAATATTTGCTATTATTCATGGAGACACTACAGCAATTTTTTGTGAGCTTTGCCAGTTTGTAAACATGGAGGCCACAATTCAGCCAGTGCTAGGTGTGCTTAAGATCGCTGTAACTTTTGAACTTCCAGTGCTAAATAGTGCACAAATCAGAGAAGAATAAACATGTTCCAACATGAGGCATATATATATATGCCTCATG